CTTCCCGCGCCCCCCCTGCAATGACACGGCACCCCCCCTAGGGGGCGCGCCCCACAGTTTGGGAACCTCTGATATAGATAATATCGATATCAAGTCAGTATCAGTATTAGTATCAGATTGATTCTTTGGTTTCAGATTTTCAAATTTGGCTCTAGATTCGAATAAAACAGTTCAAAGGAAAAACAACAACAACATATTGGTATTTGTATCATAGCGGCGATACTGGCACTATATTTATCTGGTATCGGATCGATAGTAAAATATGCAGCATTGTCTAGTATTCACCCATGTCTAGTTTAATCTCGGTACAAATCCATTTACTTTCGCCAATAAACAGCATCATCAACACCAGGGAACACAACAGGAATTCACCAGAAGCTATAAAGGGAGACAGCAAACGTGTGTAAGAAAATCCAGCTACATGCAAACATTTCACTGGCAGAAAACCAACACTGCACATCACCCTGAATGCATCATCCTCATGGTGGAACATGAGGATGGAAGCATCATGCTGCGGGGATCTGCACAGGTCGATTCTACTTTGTGATTAGGTTGCTTCTAAAGGCAATTGGTTGGATTTTATTTACAGTGGATCTAACCCGAGTGTGGGAAGCATAACCCCGCCCCCTGACAAATTTTGAAAAATGCCCCCAAAGTGGGCGGAGCCAAGTGAGAGCAGAGGAGTCCCCTTCCATTCTGTGTCCACATCGCAGATAAATCACACATTTGCAAAGTTGGGTAACACTATTGACCAACACTCGCCTGTTGCCATGGCAACTTAGGAGTCAGAGTTGGTTGCAGCGATACACCAAGCCGTATCTCTGCAACCAAATTCAACTGCCTAAGAACCGCTCAGCTGAAGGAGGTCAGCACTGAGATGGTTTGAGGCAAAATATTGCAGAACGAAACAAATTTACATAAAAATATCAAAACTCTTTCAGAAACATAATAATATAATCCTAAAGAACTTGTTCAGACAGTTTGTCAGCAAACATTTTTGATTTGGGGCTTAGTTACTGTTACGGTTAAAGTTAACAGGGTCAAGGGGACTGAATACCAATGCATGCCACACTTTTCAGATTTGGAAAATTGTGTATCATTTTGATTAACTGATTGATTGACTGATTTATTGACTGATTGATAGCTTTGTGTTGGTTTATCACCATGAAAGCTGAACTGCTGCTAAGGTGACAAAATGTGGAAAAGTTCAAACACTATGTTTCGAACTTCTAACAAATCTAACTGAAATCCTCGTCTCGACCTCCATCACCGCGTTAGAAGACGGCAGCCATGTTGGATTTGAAAGAGTCACTTTCCCGTTCTGTTCGACTTTAAATCTGAAGCGCAGTTTTCCAAACTGGCTGTTGTCACAATGCATCGTGAGCTGAGCAGAGATCCATAAAACTTTTTTAAACTTTCACCTTTTCATCCTGACTAAACACCCAGATGCCTTCGAAAGCAAAACAGAGAAGTTTAACAGAGCAGCATAAATAACCTTCTGACTCATTTCAGTTCGACCTCTGAGTCTCTGAAGCTCCAGCGTCTCACAGCTCCCTCTTAAAAAGTTTTCTCCAGTGGATGCGCTCCACTCCACAGATCCTAAGCCCCTCCTGCTTGCTATAAAAAGACCCACAGCTTCTCTAGAGGAAAAGAAAGAGGAGAGGGGTGGGCCGGGGGGGTTCTCTGTTTTAAAGTGCATATGAGGCTAAGCTGTTTGATGTGGCCAGGTGATTGAGGCAAGCTGCTGCCGTGCCCGCCAGAGAACAATGTGTGATTTCCACAAATCAGAATGCTGCAAGGTGTGCTGCTCAGATCATCTCTCTCTCTTCATCTCTCTCTCTCTCTCTCTGTGTGTGTGTGTGTGTGTGTGTGTGTGTGTGTGTGTGTGTGTGTGTGTGTGTGTGTGTGTGTGGTATAATGGAAGGGATTCCCTGGTTCTGTGTTTTCCTCCAAACGTATCCTAGCGCCGCTTCATGACCTCACAGCACTTCAGAGCAGCTGTTTAAAACCCAGGAACGACTCAACTTCTTTTCCAACAATTTCTGTAGATATGACTTGGATTTTGTCTTTTTTTTTTTTTACAGCAGATGCATTCAAATCACAAGCTGACTTGCTGAAACGATTGGGGCAGTGTGTGTGTGTGTGTGTGTGTGTGTGTGTGTGTGTGTGTGTGTGTGTGCAATCATAAAGCTGCTTTCTATTTCCAGACTGGAGGGAGAGTCTGACTCACTGTCACAATGGAGGGGAGCTGAGAGGGAAGAGAGGGGAGGGGAGGGCGGAAGGAGAGAGCGCTGGAAGAAGAGAAGAAAGAAGAGGAGAGAAGGAGGAAAAGAACTGCATTTTTTTTCTTTTTGGTTTTATAAGCAGCGCCATACAGAAAGCTACTGTTTCCGTTCTCATAAAGGCCAAACGGGACTTTTTCAAAAAAGCACATTTCATGTCCGTGAGTCACATGGGAGAAATGTCGCCAGCAAACTGAAATTTACGACATCTCGTATAAAAAAAACTAAATAAAAAAACAGCTTTTGACATGTGATGAGGCCACACAGTGGAAGCCTTTGAACGTGAAAGCCGAACACTAATCAATTGGAAACGTTTTCTTTCAGCTTATCAGTTTAATAAAAGCTTCTCTGTCAAGATGGTTTTTTTTATTATATATATATAAGGCTTTTACAAGAGCAGAGAATCTCATGAGGTTGTTACCAGCCGGGAGCGATTATGTAAAAGATGATAGAACCCTGCCAACAAAGAAAAAAGAAAAAGCCAGCAGATATGAGCTGGTGTGGCTCAGGTGCCAGCATGCAGGCAGAGCCGATCCAGAAACTGTTTCATATTTATTTATGGCTGTTAACTCTTTACATAACTTTGATTAAAGATGCCACAATTTCACTTTTTCATAATTATGATGTTGCTTTTACAAAAAAAGATAACAATTATACCCTGTACTGGTAAACAACATCACATCTCTATGATAATATTGATAATAATGGTATTTACGACATATTTGTTTGACAGTTAGTGTATTTTCCAACTTGAACACTGGAAAAACACCAAATCTTAGCAAGTATTTTCATCTTGTTTTCAATGAAATGTTATTATGCTTGGAATAAGACAAAACAAACTTAGAAGTAACTTTTCAGTAAGATATAAGTGCTTGTTTTAAATCAATAATTCTTTAATATTCATTAAAAAAAAATACTAATTCCACTGGCAGATTATTTTACTGATGGGAAAAATGTCTTATTATAAATGTAATAATCTGCCAGTGGAACTTTTCATCAATATTAAAGAATTACTGACTTATAATGAGCTCCTATATCTTGCTGAAAAGTTAGTTTTGTCTTATTCCAAGTATACTTACATATTTGCACTAGAATCTAGAGATACTTGGTATGGTTTGGTGCTTTTGCAGTGTAAATATTTCCAACTAAACCAACATATCTAGTTTTAAGCAGGGGAACCTTTTCTGTTGCCTGCTTTCAGCCAGCTGACCAGCAGTGCCCAGGAGGAGGTTGGGGATTTAACTTCCTTTTAAAGTTATTTTATGGCGTTTCTGATGGCGACTTGCACATATATTAAAAAAAACAACAAAAAACAAAATCATAAATCTCACCATATAAACGTTGATAGAATGCAGGCATTAATCACAATTAAGGTAAACTGAGATATTAAAACAGCACATTTAGATTTTCAATTTGTTTTAGGCGTTGTCTACAGGTGGACATTTATCATTTATTGTGAACTTTCTTATCGTGATAAGAATTTTGATTTATCGCTGTCATGGTAAATGTCAGTTATTAATGACAAATAAAAAACAAGACTGGCGGCGACCGGAAATAAGGTTTTTTTCTATTTTCTCTGCTGTTTGCCTCAAGAGAGCATTTTTAAATATCAGTTCACTCAGAAATATGATTAAATCCAGTTACTGTGTGCAGTTCAGTGATACAAATTTAGCTTTTTAAGTAAGTGATGTCTTGAAGGAGCCTATTTCAAATGTTTTTTTCAACAACAGTATTTGTGTTTGTGAGTCACGCTGTCGCTGTCATACAGTCGTAAACTTTTTAATAAATAGGTTTTTTTTCCAACTTTGATCTGTATCATTATCACCATATTACCACAAAATATCACAATAAAATTCTAAGTCCATATCGCCCAGCCCCAGCGTCGTCATAGCAACTAAATAATCCTCAAGGAACTGTGTGCCACCTCATCACTGGACAGCCTTTCCAGAAACTTTGTGGAGGCGCCCCTGTGTAGGAGTGACGAGGGATCCCTCCCCAACACACACCCACGCACACACACTCACACGCACACACACCAACCAGCTATTTGGGTGTTTCCCTGTTTTATCAAGGTGCAGTTCAAGCATTTCAAAGACCCGACCTCAGCTGTTCCACGTGGAGAGCTCCCTGACCTCACTGTGATGTAAAACGCTGCACCCAGCGCCGGGGCGAGGAGCGGGGAGGGGAGAGGAGAGAGAGGGGGCGCACTCACAGGCGCGTCAGGTGGTTCCCAGCGCGCCGCTCCTCTTTAAACCAAATAAACTCCCGGTGTTTGTGCGGCTGTTTCAAGGCTGCTCCTCCTATGGAAAGAATTCCGTTCCCCCACTAAATAGAAAAGGCGTAAAGGCGCAGCAGCAGCAAATTGTGGGAAACGTGTGTTCCAACAACAGGAAATCCGTAATGTTTCCTCTCCTGGTGGGGCGCATGCAGGAGTCGGGACTGTCTGGCTCTGGAAGCGAGCATCGGTTCACCTTAATGAGTTTCTAACTACGACCCCAGCGCTGCTTCCTAATAGGGGCAAGACCGCTGGAGCGGCCAGCGCGCAGCCTCTGGGGCGCGCGGCACACTGTGTCTGCGGATTCACTAAAACATGACAGGTATCCAGCTGACACCTGGAGCGTCTCTGCATGCCAGAGCGGATCTGCAGCGACGTCACGTAGAAAAGTTTCCAAAAAAAAATAAAAAATAAAAATAAAAAGCCACCCAGCTCTAACTCACCTTGACCACGTCGTCGTTGATGCGCTTCGGATCCCTGTTAACCAGGTCGATCTCCTTGGTGTGGACGTCCTCCATCGCCTTCTCGTTCAGACTCTCGTTTTCCATGTCCTTGTTGTTCGGTTTGTAAATGTTCCCTTGTTTCCGGATGAACGAATGCAGATACTCCTGTGAGGATCACGGCAGAGGTGTAGGAGAGGAGGACGGGGAGGGAAAAAAAAGAGAAAAAGAAGAGTAAGAAGAGAGGAGAGGAGAGGAGCGTCGGTGAGGTGCGGGAACGGTGCGCAGCGCACTGTGAAGGCAGAGGAGCTGGAGCTGAGTTACCAGCCTGCCCCACAAACAGGGATGGGTTTAGAATGAGCACACAGTCAGGCACCACACCCCTGCGTTCAGCCGCAAGGGGTCCTCACCACCCAGATAGCAACAACACAATATCCTGACCTGTATGGAATCCCACAAGTGCCGTGAAATCATCTTTTTTTTGGGTTGTTGTTGCCATAGTACAATTCCACCAGAAAATAAAAGTCCTCTAAGTTTTTTTTTAAAAGTTTGAATTCATTGTATATCAAAGATATTCTGAACTAACAAAGCTTGATTTTATATTTTCAGACCTACACTGTCACATTTGTAAATGAGACAATAACATCTGATTGGTTAAGCTGCACTGCAAGTAAATTCAAAGCAATCATATGTAACTATGCCAGTCATAGCCAATCTAACATGAGGCAGTAAAAAATGTAAAAAGTGTAATAATTACTTTATTGTATGAATAATGTTTTTATCATTAGTATTAGTATTTAAAAATGGCATATGTAACCATATGTTTAATTATTTAAGTAAGGCTTACTTTCCAATATGAATCATTGTCAACAAAAAAATATTTATTGGATTATTTATTATTTATGATTATTTATTGGTTTTTATTTACTGGCAATAATCTTAAATTTGAAGAAATATTTTCCACAAATGATTACTACTAATATTATTATGAGTAGCTGAAGTAGTAGTTGTAGTGATAAGCACTTAACTAGCTGCAGACGAGCTTTTGTTGTGCATGCATTTATTTTTTAAATTGTGGCACTTTTGGCCATCCATAGATGTAACCGTCGGCATGGAAACATTTTTCTTAAAGTGCGTAAAAGGGCATATTTGAACTGTTTTGACATAAACCGCTGCTTCTTCTCCAACGTGCCATGTTCTGACATCCATTCCTCTCGTCAGCTGAGCTGATCGTATAAATGATTTTGACATAAGGCTCGTTTCCGTTTTAATTTGCTCAAAAGCTGCGCGTCAAACCCCTCCCTGATTTCCGATGGTAAACTTGTCAGTCTAAATTGAACCAATAAACAATTGAAATAGCTTTAATATTTCTTCTTTTTTTAAATGTAAATCAAATTAGTGGACGAATTTTTAAATTTAAAAAAAAAAAAAAAAAAAAAAAAAAAACATTTGTAGGCTTCCTCTCCTGCAGTTCAACTCCAAATGTCCATTTTGAGGATTTGCGTAAAACTGCGGTCCGTCAGTCTGTTGACGAGCAGAGAAATTCCCGTCAGCGCTCTAACGCAGGCACAGTGGCGCTTTTACATTCCCTCTGCGAAAGCGGAGACGCGTTCAGGTGAATGTGGCACACGGGAAAATCACCGGAGGAGTGAAAATTGAATTGTATCTCGCAGACGCAAATGAGCCTCATCCAAATGAGAAAAGACAGAGGTCAAGTGCAAACAAATGAGGATAATAATAATAATGGTAACGCTAGGCGTGAGTGGATCGGAGTCATACTGTACCTCCTCCGTCTCGTCGTCCCGCAGCTCTCCTGTCATTCTGCTCCGAACAGATCCTCGTGCTCAAACAGAACGTGACAATATAGGAAGTGGAGTGGGAGGCGTGGAGGCAAACCGGACCGGGGGTTCCTCTCTCCTGCCCTCAGCTTCGACTAGGACTGAAACGTAATGCCAGGGCGCCGAGGAAACCCTGAGCAGTTTTTTTTTCTTCTCCCTCTCTGGGTCGGAGCGAAGCTTCCCCATGGCACAGTCACCTGTCGGCCTGTAGGCAGACCGCTCTGCTGCGAACACAGGCGATTAATAAGAGACCAGGGCAGAATATAAAGTTTAATCACTTGATTGTTAGGAGAAATTTGGACGTCTGCTGGGAATATAGCAAGTTGTGTTGCAGTGGAGACCGATAAAAAAGAGTAAAATCAATCAATCAATCAATCAATCAATCA